GTGTGCCAAATGGGGTTTGCGGCCTTGGAGTGGAGCTGGTACCTGTGCAGACAAAATTGATGTTCCTGTGGATTTCTGCTGATGCTGCACCACACTGGTGAGGTCTCAGAGACCCCTGGATCAGTCATATCCAGAGTGTTGTCCCACTGCTGTCCCTGCTCTGCCTCCTTATGCACAGCCTAGGGCTGTGGTTTGCAGGTCCTCCAGCAAAATGTCCTTCATTTGTCCTTGACACCGTGGAGGCATCAGCGACCTCCTTGTGCTTTCAGGTCAATAACAGACTAATATTTGACTTGCAGATACTTTCACAGCAAAACCTGTAATCTTTAACTTCATTAAAATTGTTCTCATTTCGCTGTGGCAAAGCAGAGCCTGTGAATCATGATTAGTGAAAGCAGAAGGCCAGGCAAGAGATTATTAATTTCACTTTTCTATTCAGAAGGCTGCACTGCTCTCACTCAGTGCAGGATTTGTGCCCTTTAGACAAAAGGCTGACAAGTGTCACTTCTTAATCTTCTCTGTGTGCGGCTGTTTGTCAGGACGAGATGGTCCTGCTGCAGCCCCGGACCCCAGAGCACTGCTGGTTATGACAGTTGCTATTTGCAAGTCAGCTGCAAAATGCTCCCTCTTTATTCCTCCAGCTATTTTTAGCACTGCTTTTTAGATTGCAGTAAAACAAAAGACATCTCATATTGGTGGTAACCAGGTTGTAGTGATTTCTGTCCTTAAGGGAGAGGCATGTTTGGTGATGGGAGGAGAAGGGCTTTCCAGTGCATGTGAAACCTGTCTGCTGGCTGTCACCCATAGCAGAGCCACCTCTGTCACCTGCAGCAGATCCCTTTGGGAGCACATCTCCCTGCCAGCACATCCAGCATGTGGTGGTTCAGCAGGATAGCTGGAAGCAGGTGAGAAGCAGCTCAGTTTCTTCAGAGGTCAGGCAGGAAAAGTGCTGAGCATGCAGCAGGGTGGCAGTGGAGGGAGCGCCAGGGCTGTGCTTAAAGAGCTGAAAAGAATACACAGTGGTCCCTGGAGTTCTCTTCCTGCCTGCTTCAGCTGCAAGAGAAGCAAGTGAGTGAATGGGAAGGGCTATCCCACCAATCTCATAATCGCACCCAAAGCAGCCCCCTCACCTCAGCATCCTGGCTTCTCACTGAGCACTTGACAGACAGAGCTTGCTGAGCTGGATATGAGCATCCTAAATTTAGTTGATGCAGCTAAATGGTGCCTGCTGGTTTTAATTTACATTCATGCTAAATTTCTGCAGTTTTATTTTCCCCTCCCCTCTCCTCTCAAGGGAGAAGCAATGGCTTTCTTGGAGGTAGCTTATGATTTTTCCAGACAGAAATTGTTTCCATTTCAGGGTTATTGGCAATACCCAAGTATATGTCCAGGAATTGGTCAAAGCCAAGGAGCCTGATTTAGAGCTGCTGCTTCTAATGTCTAATAAAGCAGTACTGCAAAAGGTCAGCAAGGTTGCAGCCAGTCCCAACAACTAATGGCATAATCTGTTGAAGAATTAATTCCCTTTCCAGTCAAATATAACAACAATAGGGAACACTAACTGTCTAACCTAAGTCTCATATAGTACCAGTAAACCTGTTAACTGAGGCTGCTACCAAAACTGCTGGAGTCCTGACCTCGGCCTTTGTTTCTAAGTGGGATTTTGCCATTCCTCTGGAGATCAGCCTCCGTGCTATAAGCCAGCAGCAGCAGCTCAACTGCTGTCCTTGTGAGGGTCCATTCTCATGGCACAGCCTGGTGCCCTTGCATTAGTGTCCTGCCCTCTCACTGCAGTTTGCACTGAGGAGCATTCATCATTTCAAGGTCATCCCAAGCTCTCTGACTTCTGAAACTTGTGTGGAGATAACAGCAGCATTTGCTTTGCTGTAAACACCTCCAGTTGCTGTTGGTTTACCTTTGGCCCAACAGCTCTTATTCTTGTGCTTTTCAAATGCTGTTTTTCATGCTCTCGTGCTATTTTGTTCTGCTCGGTATCATTCATGTAGGCTGCACCATGGGCTGCTCCATTAGCAGCCAATTTTCTCCTGAGCTGTCCCAGCTGTTGCAGAGCCTTTGCTAGTGGTGTTCCCAAAGCGGGGGTGAGCTGGTGTGTGGAAGCTGGGTGGTTTCTCTCCATGCACGTATCAAACGCAGACAAATAGTTGGCATCAGCCTTGACAAGATTCTCTCCCCAGCAGGTTTGAGAAATGGGTTCCTGTCACAGGTTTCATTAATTATTGTGAGTATTCAGGGGCCGGGAGGGTGTCTCTTTGCTGTCCTACAGCACATGGAGTTTCTGTGGGTGATTTTCTCACAGCTTTGTGTCCCACTGCAGTAACATGGATGGACTTCACCCTGGAGGGGGATTGCTCTGAGACCTGGGTCATTGTCTCTCAGTCCTGGGGCCCCCCTTCATTGTCCTGGTCCTGAGCACCTTGTTAATGAGACAAAGCATCTGTTTTGAGCACGGCAGTGAACATTCCCCGAACAGTTGTGAGTTATCTTACCAGCCTGTTATTTACGTGCTCCTTCAGGTCACATGCTCCCCAGGGTAGGAGTGAGACCTGAGCTCAGCCCATTTATCTTCCATGAGTTGAGGAGAATAAGGAAAACATTTACCTTCTGACTGATAGTCCATTCATCTCCTGCTGAAGCTTCTGTCTTTCTGTCAGGTCTCCTTTTTCTTGAATTATTTTGGGTTCTCTAAGCACCAGTTTTCATCCTTTTTTGACTCTCTTTGGGCAGCTCAATGCGCCTGAGCCAGCAGGCTCAAGGAATCTTGCTGGTCCTTGTGTGCACCGGGACGCACTTCTTCCTTCCTTGTATGGGCAAATCATGAGCCTGATAAAGGCCGTCTGGCTCTGGGCTCCCCTTCCCTGCTTTCCCCATCACATGTCCCTGTCCCTGCAGATTTATGAGCCCTGGGGATGTCTCTCTGTGTGCACAGTCTGTCCTTGGGAGCCTGACTACAAATCCAGCATCTCTGTCCTGGTCCTGTGCTCAGGACGCTGTTCCCTGGAAGGGCTATCCATTGGGCTGACAGGGGCAGGGAGCAGAGCATGGCCCTACACTCTCTCTGCCCCCAGGATGGACAGTGGCACTGGGGATGTGCCTTGTGCCTCTGAGGAGTTGGTGGCATGGAAAACTGAGAACAATCTTAAGCCTTTTGCATAATTAATGCCAATTATAAATCCCACTGTTTCTGTGGTATCTCAGAATATCACCTGGAGTGTTTGTGCAAACACTGGATGCAGGGTGAAAAAACACTAAACTGGGAAAAATCCACCCAGTGCAGAGCCTGGCTGCCAGGATAGCAAGACACCCTCCTCCCTTTATCACAAAGGTGACATTTATAAAGAGCTCAAGGGCAGGTTTTTCCGTGCTGATGGCTCAGCAGCTCTCTGTGTAGCAGCAATAACCAGGTTTCTCAAGGCACCAGGTCAGCACACAGGGGAGGTGCAGTGCTCCATGGAAAACTCGGGCCTTTTTATTCAGTGCCCCTGTCACAGCAAGCTGAACCTGTCCCTAGGACATGTGTCCTCTTCAGTCCCATAGGTGCTGTGGTGTGTGCTGGCTTCCTAATTCCTCCTCTGAATAAATATTGCCATGGGGCTGAGACCAGGTTTGCAAATAACTAATGAAAGCTGAAATCCTGGCCTGAAATTAACACTCTTCAGGCTGAATAGGCTTTAAAAGTATGTCTTTTTTTTTAATGTCTTTAAATGTAATTGGCTCAGGCCGGGGGGGGGGAATCAACGAAATGTTAGGACTGACTCAGGCTGCGTAAGAGCCCACCCCACAGGCAGGGTTCCTCTGGCTTCACTTGTATTAAACCTCTCATACCATCCTTTCTAAGAAACGGGTTTGGGGGAGCAGGGAGGTGTATGATTAAGTGAGCAATTGTCTCCCTCCAAGGACATTTGGAGAAGTGCAGGAGGTTTGTAATTGTGTTTGACTTTAGTGTGCAGCTTCCCACGGACAGAGTGAACACCAATGTAGTAGCATGGATACCCTAGCACAAAGGTCTGGACGTATGTTTCAGGAGCACTGTTGTGGTTTTGTAAATGCCTGCAGGACAAATATAGGTGTCCAATGGTGACCTCAAGCCTCTTCCTTACTATTCACAGCAAGTTTCCCCCACAACCTCTGAAACAGCTGCGTAAATTAGGGCACAATGGATAAATCTTGGCTTGTGTCAATGTGGCACAGGGTTTGACCCTTTAGTGTTGCTTCACTCATGTCCAAGTGCAGTGATCAGCACCTGTACCTGTGCCATAGACCAGCCTCAAGTGCCCGGTGACTAGATTTGGAGGCTCTGTGCAGTCATAGTGCAGTGAGTGCAGCAGAGGCATTGCTGGTGTCTGAGGGTGTTGTCCCTTTAGCCTTGCACCTCATCATGATTGCTTCAGGCCCGGTCATGGAAGCAGGTATGAAAACTATGTAGGGGATGTGATAAATGCTTCTGGTGTTGAGCAGCAGGAAATAGAGTCCTCTGGTCAAGAAGACGCGTTGTTCTTTGTGTTTCGTTAAATAAATAGGGAATTGAGTCCCAGAAATATGGATGCTACCATCCCCTCGTCTCACTTCTAACTACTGTTCTAGATGCATTATTTCCTCCCCAGAAATGAGGACTAGGAAGGGACAGCTGCCAAGAAGAGATCCAATAAGCTACGCTAGGAAGCTGCTTGGATTATAGTGCTACCTAATAGAGGTTACATGCTTCATATGAGCCTGACATGGGAGAGATTTTCCTTATAGACAATCGGTTATAGTTAAACAAGTAGTAACTGGCTGGTCACTGCAACCATTACTGGGTTGGCTTTTTTTTTGTACAAGGAAAGGGATTTTAAATGCATTCCATGAAGCTAAACTGCCTGGAAATCAGTGAAAGGCTTCTGTAGATGCAACTCATTTCAAAGATACATTAAATCTGGTTCTTTAGTTACTGGATTGCTTAAAAATGCAAATTAACCACTTGCCAAAATCGATTTCTTTTGCAGCTTGAATTTCAGTGGAGTCCATCTGGCATCTGCTGGGCAGTTTAGTGACTTCCTGGGCAGCATGGGCCCTGCACAGTTTGTTGGGCGTCAGACCTTGGCCACCACCTCAATGGGTAAGGAACAAAAAGATATAGGTGGCTTTAATGTAATCTTGAACAGACTGCTCCTACGAGCCACGTAATAACGCGTCCAGCATCTGCTGATCTGCCACTCTCCCTCTCTGCTTCTCTGTTAAATCAAATAAGCTTGGCTGAAAGGTTTTGCTGATTGCTGCAAATGCAGTGTTAGTAGGAGAGCACCAGCTTTGTGCTTTCTTCCATCAGATCTGAAAGGCATAGACTAGGTAAAACCAGTTACAATCCTAAAAGTGCATCCTGTGCATCTTCATGGGGTTTTTTGCTCTCTAGGACCTACCAGGCCCTGTAAAGATTTTCTTACAGTCCACCACAATTGCATTTACCAAAGCAGCCTACAGTTCTAGGTGCTTCCCTGTGGGAGAGATGAGAGGCTAGCAGCCACTGAAGAGTGTGAGACTGAGTCACCAAAGCCATGTAGAGGGCTGGCAGTAGAGATTGCTTTTGAAAATGTGGGCTTGAATCACTGTAGAGCTGCTTGAGTGCAATGCAGGAGGAGATCAGGCACTCAGGGCCTACAGTTTGTTACAGCTCATAGGAGGCATGACATGAAAATTGGTTTTTGTAACATTTTAATAACACACAGATGTATTGTTTTGAAAGTCTTCTGTCTGTTTTGACATTTTGGTTTAGGGGATGTGGAAATTGGCTTGCAAGAGCGAAACGGGCAGCTAGAAGTGGATATCATTCAGGCTCGAGGACTGACACCAAAACCCGGCTCCAAAACACTGCCAGGTAGTATGCTTTGACCTCCTCAAGTGATTTGCTGAGCTCCAGCCTCCTGCAATGCCTGTGAATAGGAAAAAGTGTAATTCTGCTTGGCTTCTGCAGGACTAAGCAGTCTGTATGCAGTACTGAAAATAAGGCTGGTTGAGTAAATCTTTTCACTGCTGTAAATGCCATCTTTAGAAATACCTGAGACATGGCACTGTCTTTTCTAAAGTGAGCATGAAGGTATTTTCCATATTTGACCATCTTTATTCTTTCCAGCTGCTTACATCAAAGCTTACCTGCTAGAGAATGGCGTGTGCATTGCGAAAAAGAAGACAAAAGTGGCTCGCAAATCATTAGATCCTTTGTACAATCAGGTGTTACTGTTTGCTGAGAGCCCCCAGGGCAAAGTATTACAGGTAAGATGAGCAAGTCTCAGGTCTGCCCATCTTTCTCTTCCACCTATTTTGGAAGATACTAAGTCTGGCAAGGGATCTGGATAATTAATACAGATGAGAAAAAGCCAATGTTTTCACTGAACCAAATGCACTCAATCTGAACAAAACAAATGGAAAGGAAGACCTTTTTTTCATGTTCAAACTGATCATTGTTTGACACCCTGGCACTTAACATGAGAACCTGCCAGGAAAAGATTGATTTTTATTTTCTTAATTCTTTTTTTCCCACCCAGTTAAGAGCTAGGTAGTACCTACAGGTGCTAAACAGTCTTGCAGTATAGGTTGTCTTCTGTTGTCTTTTATACATATTTAGAGCACTCTGCTTTGTCCATCACCCCATCACATATCCTATTTTTTTCTACTTCTTTTTGTTTACTACCATACATACTCTCCCTACTCAGATTTTCAGTTCTGCACCTAGAGCAAAGAGTGATTTGTGTTGTTAACTCGTACCTAAATCATTTCCACCCAATAAAGCCTGGCTAAAATCCACTGCTCATACTGATGTAATTAATCCATGAGTTTCTGTTGCTTACCTTTGCTGGCATATGAATTGCCAGCTACCTTGCTGGATCCTTCTCTTAGCGAACTCTTCCTCATTTTTGGTGGTTAGAAGCATTTTCCTCTGCACATTTTGGCTGGAATGAGGTAGGACCTAGCTTGGTCTGCTCTTGCCTTGCATGGGTTTCCTTACCCACTGCCTTATTGCCAGGAAAGACACTCCAAGAGAATAAAATGAGGAGCTTGGCTCTCTGCCAGTGGCAATGCCACCAAACCAGCTTTCTGCAGTGGCTTGCTCCATCTCGCACTGCCCTAGAGTGTTAATTTTCATCTTTTAATTGACATTGGTTGTCTCTCCTACCTCATTTTACAGAAAACTGTAATTTTGTGGTTACTTGGAGCCTAGGGAAAGAAGCTGTCAGGATTAGCCAGAAATCACTAGTCACTGTCATAACCCATCGTACTCATCCTCTCCTCTCCAGAACAGGGACTCACTCTGGAGTCAGTCGTCACCTTTGTCTTGAGCCACATAGGGCCACTTGGCCACGTGCAGGCCTCCAGCATGCCTAAGCCCATGACCCTCACTACATCTGTTGTTCCACTCGCTGGTCTCCATCGTGTCGTAAGTGTGATTCAGCTTTCCCTGCTGGTCTGCCAGCTCTTTCATTAGACCTTCCTCTGTGTGTGCAAGCCTGTCTCAGCAGTGCGCTCTGCTCCCCTGCATGCCACCCCATGTGTGCCCCTTGCGTCACCGCTCCCGCTTGCCAGCACTCAGCTCCTGCCCTTTCTCCAGGTGAGTTGCGGACCTGTCTCCATCTGCCCTGTTTCACGAGCTCCGAGTGCAGAAGTGAAGACGAGCTGTTTTCCTCGAGCTCTTGGCTTTTGACCCAAGCTATTGCCCACCTTTTTTTGTTGTATAATTTTCCCAGATCAGGAGCTCTTCCTGCCCTTTTCCCCTGGGCCACGTTTTGTTGTGTCGAAGGTCTGTTACTGTGCCAGGGCCAGGTTTTACCTGCAAGTGTTGGAGATGCAGCTCTGGGGATACTTCATGCATGTGCTGTCCCTGTCCAGCAGGTAAAACAGCAGAACGGTGTCTCATCCACAAGCACAGTCACCTCTTTTCCCTGGGAGTGGGGGGAGAAGTCTGCTAACATTAGGGTTTGTAAAACCATGCTTAAAAAGATAAGATCATCAGCCAGAGCTGCACATCATCTGTTGGTAGCTTAAACCTTTCTGCTCTTCTCAGACTGTAGTAAAACCCTGGGAGGCTGGGTGAGTAGAAGGAAGGATTGATCAGACTTGTGCTTCCCAAGCAAGTGTGCAAGTTGGAGGACTAACTGTGTTCCCTCCTTTTGTTCCTAAGGTGATAGTCTGGGGAAACTATGGAAGGATGGAGCGCAAGCACTTCATGGGAGTCGCCAGGGTCCTCCTGGAAGAACTGGATTTGTCAACTTTAGCAATTGGCTGGTACAAGCTTTTCCCAACCTCCTCGATGGTAGATCCCACTACAGGCCCGCTCCTGCGTCAGTCCTCACAGCTTTCCCTGGAGAGCACAGTGGGACCCTGCTGTGACAGGTCTTAGTGAGTAAGGAAGGGGGAACTGCTTTTGTTTTTTAAACATGCTGTCAAGGTTTTGTTTGCTGGAACTCTGACCTCAAGCGCAATGCATGTTCAATCAGTTCTTGTGGAGCTGGAAGAGGAGGATAAACCAGTGACCTTAGACAGAAGACAAGGGGGAGGGCGCTGTGCCCTCTCCATCCGAGGAGGAGGTGCCGTGGGGCATGAGTCCTAGTTGTCAAATTAGACATACACCTCTTGTTTCACTTCTCTCGCTGTCATTCTTGGACCCTTGTTTCAGATCAGTATTAACCCTGCAAAGTTGCAGCATTTGGAAGAATCTGGGGGAGTAAGGAATTTTTCTTAACTGTGCATCTTAGAAATTTCTAATACAGATTCTTTCATGAGAAGGTACCTGAAAGATTCAGAGGCAGTATCTGACCTGAAAGAGCAGGAGCAGAAAGTTTAAGAGGAAGCATTAGGGTTTTTATAAGGTCTTTCTTCTTGAAAGGAAGAAAAGAAAGAAACCTGCAACTCTTTCTTTAGAATCAGTTCCCTATCACTGAGTCATGTTAACTGTAACACTGTCATTGCTGTGTTTCCAAACTGTGCCAAATTACCAGCAAGTGTCTTTACTGCATTACTTGTCTAACACTGCTGATGAAGCATACTTGGTGGGAGAATAAGTAGCGCCTACTTAGACCAGACAGTCTGAACAGAGTTTGAGTTGAGCAGGCTAATTAACTGCAATTTTGCTCAGAAAAAAAGCCCCCAGAAGTGGGAGCTGAACATCAGACTTGCAGCTTGAGATATGTTTTGTGTTGTCAGATACAATGTTCTGCAATTTACTGACTCCCTTACTTGTTGCTGTGCATCCTTCAGTCACAGTGTCTTCTATCTCCTGCTTTTCTTCCATCTCCTTTGTGCTGGTACATATCTGCTGGAGATGCTACCCTTCCTGTTGTGCTGTGGACTGACCTGAAACAGGACTGTTTTATTTTGCCATGGGAGAGGAGTTTGAGGTTTCTATGGGTGCAGAAGAAAGAAACCTCAGTTTGTCATCTGACAAAAAGGTGCTGGAGAGCACATAACCTTCCTTGAGGAGAGAGGTGCTTTGGGCAGTCTTGGTAGTATGCAAACATTGTCAAGTGTTCTGCAAGAGGAGATGCAATCCCCAAAGTATGGAGAGGTGGTAGGTGAGGAATCTGAAGATGCAGTGGTCACAGCATGTATATTTTGTTCATTGAAGTGCAACACTAGCTGTAAACAAGTCATGTAGGTTAAGCCAGCAACACACGTTCTCTGAGCTGCTGAGCTGTGGTCAGCAATCACGTGCTGGAGTAAGCACGCTGGATCCTTCAGACAATTAAAATCATCTTATCCACAAACCACAGAGAATCTCCAGAGATTTTCTGTTGAATGACCTGTTTTGGCTAGGTTTTGTCTTAGTTCCTAATGAGGATTTGAGGACTGCTGTCTCAGAATCAGCTTTTGGAGATGTGTTACTTTGTGATTTAAAAGTGAAGGTCCCATGTCACGTTTAGGGAGGAGCAGATTCTCGACCTGTTGTAGGGGCACACTGAACATTTATTTCTGCATGTGGACCTCAGCTTCGTTAGAATAAAAGCATGAGTGTTGAGTGGATGGTAAAAGCAGTTGCTTTTGGTCCTAGCTTGTCTATGGCATTTTAAATTATTTTGAGATAAATTATAGGATAGATGCAAAAATAATAGGCCTTACAGTAACCTCTGTAAAAAAACCTACATAATATAAAGGAGAGGGAAGCAGAATGAGGGACATAGAATGAATAGTTTTTTTAGTCTTCGGTGGTAAAAGCCTCAACATTTCAGATAAATCTCCTTATTTCCTTGATCAAATATGTCTCTGGCCTCTCACTAATTATTTTTTCTAATCGTATTAGACAATTTCTATATATTAGCTGAAGAAAGTTTGTTGCATGCTGGTCAAACTATGTTGTGGCTCTTTTAGTTTTCTTTTTGAAGAAAAAAGCACATTTACTGTAATTCAAGTCAGCATCTTTTCCTCTTGGTATGTAGTGAGTACTAGGCAATATTGTACAATATGTGTATGAACTAGAATAGATTAGGTAGATTTAGTGGTTTGTAGCACTGGATCTTTTAATAACTATGTCTTTAAAAGGACTTTGGGGAGCTCCAGGTACATGCCAGACCTGGCAGCTGAGTAACAGGGCTTTTGTCTTAAGTTATGCTGAAACCTTTATATTGGTACTTAGTTTGGACATTATCTACCAATAATAGCTAGTTAATCATGGTTTTCCTGTGTCCAGTAAGATGAATGCAACGTTTTTGCAGTCTTTAATATGGAGTAGGAGACTATATATGCCAAAAACATTCCCCCAGAAAACTTTGTTTAATGACTGTCTGTTGAAAAGCTCAATTGCTGTATGCCTGGCAAATGTGACGTGTCTCTGTATCCTACCCCTCCAAAAGCTCTGCAAGCTCAGTGATGATCAGTTTAGTTACAATAGGACTACTTAACACTGAGGACTATCTTCCGAATGGTTTTAATCATGCTAAAATGTCACTGTCAGGGTAGGAAAAAAACAAAACCAAGTTACAGTTCTACTTGTGTTATTTTTGTCAGCGTTTCAGATTCTGACATTTGGAGGCAGTTTTAAGAGTCTGCTCCGTCCTGTTTTCTTCTGCATTTTTTACATGGTTGATTGCAGTCCAGTGGTTCTCACTTTTGTTTCTACTCACTTCCAAGTCCTGTTTCTCCCCAGTAAGAGAACGTTGCAACCCCTGGCTGCCACACACAGCACAGTCACATGAACTGGCAAGTGCAGTTGATCTTCCTTCGTGCAGCAGACTTACAGGAGCCCTTCTGAGAGCACCCACAGGGCACAGAGTGAGGCCAGGAGGGTTGCACAGTACCCTGCAACCTAGATCCTTGCTTCACTTGCACCCATGATTCCTTCATTGACCATGGTGTATTACAGTTAAAAGTCTAGTTATCCATCAATTTAAGACACTCAGTATCACATCCAAGGCAAGTCTTAGGCTTGGAATAGCTGTTTTTTATAAAGCCTAAGGTTTTTTTTCCCCAAAAAGTTTGACTTGCCGGTTTATCTAAGGTGATGTGATATGACAGTCGGGATTGCCAGTGTGGTTGTGTAAAAAGTAGCAGTTTGTTAGAATGATGAGCAGCTGAAAACTGAGTTTTGGTCCCCTTTGCAAGTCCTGAAAGAGTTTTTTCCTGTGTCTGAGGGAAGCTGTTATAGTCAAGGAGGGGGAGAGAGAAAAACAGACTGTAAAAAGGAAGAAGAGGTATTGTAGTACTTCTGTGAGCAATGATGAGGGGTGAGATTGAGGAGGGATACATAATAAACACCTGCCCAGCTCAGGGTTGATTCCCCGTTCCTTGTGCATGGAATACTGTGTTCTAATAGTAATGGGAGGGTTGCTTGTCAAAAGAGAAAATGGAGAACTGGTTCCTAAATGTTACCTGCATTACTATTACCATGAAAAACAAGGGAATGCTGGTGCTGGGAGCAGAATGATCTCTCCGCAGCGGGAATCCCCTGCACACAGAGAGCGCAGCCTCGCACGTGGCTTTGTTCTCTTTGTGGTCTGAGCAAAACGCAGCTGTGACCGCGGATATAGACCTGGATTGTCCAGGAAAAAGTTGGGATACTTTCCCAGTCTCCTGGTGTTGCTTTCCCTTTGCCCCAGCACAGCTGGGATGTCACAGAGCCAACACAAGGTCCTCACTCTGTGAGTCAGTCCGTGGGTCCTCATCCCACAGTCGAAGCTGCGTGGGCAGGCTGGAGCATCCCTTTGGCACTGTCCATGGGTGCTTGTGTCCATGGGCAGGGTAAAGGCCAGGTGACTTTATTGTTTAGCCAAGTACATCCCCACTTCTTGGCCATGGATTGTTCCAAAGGACATTGCAGAATTATTTGCTTTGAATGAAAATCTCTATTTATTGTTTCTAGCTACCAGATCCTTTATCAATGTACTGTTCTAAATTTGCAGGTCTTCTGGAGTATGAATATCACAAGTTCCTGTAAAGGAGCTGTTTTTAAGATGTTGAGGCAGTTAACAGAATCTCAACCTAAGCATGTTTAGTAATGTTTAGACAGCAAGACAACTTTTTTATGAGACTCATTTTAAGTTAGTTTATTACATGCTGATTTAAAACAGGGAAAATATTTTTCTTTAAAGACAAAATGATGTATGTTTTTTAACAGATAATTTAGTGTTTTCAAAACTGTTTAATGTTCTGGGTATGATGTTTACTCATTCTTTTGACTTCTATGTTCCTTGTTCTATTTTATCAACTTTTTTCCACAAGAAAAGAGGCATATGTAAATAAACACCAGAAAAGAGTCCTATAGGAAATTCTGTTCAAACTGGCCATAGAATTATTAGTAAAGATTTGTTATTGTTCATTAACTCTCAGCTACTATTCAAGCCTTTGTTGAAAGAATCGATGTTGTATTTTCAAGATGAGAACTACTTAGCTAGTTTTGTCATAAACCTGTACTCTGTATAAAAATCTTTTTATAAAGAAAGTCTAATAGGCTAACAAGCAATAATATATTCCATTTGGTGTGCACAGATTGTGACTTGCAGGCTGTAGTACATATTGTTGATACAGTTTATAATTGTCTTCAATCTCAGTGACATCACTTTTGAAAAAGATCCATATTAACTTTGATTGTAAAAAAAAAAAAAACAAACCAACAAAGACTGGGCTGATGCCTTGTGAGATATATTCATCCTATAGACTTCTCTGTGAGTATATGTGCCCATCGACATGAAATCTCTCTTAGGTGAAGAATGAAACAGCTGTAGGTGACTCCATACTACAGAGCTAAGATATAGTTTCAATATAAACTTCATGACTGTTTTGATCTCCCTGTTTTTCTTAGGCTATCTAGTATTTGTAACAAAATGAGAATGGTTCCCACTGCCACTGTAGCCCTGATAAAGCAAAAAAGCCTCTGGGGCCACATGAGTTCTGCCTGACAGCTGCCTATTTTCCTCGAGGTACCGGGGTAAGCTAAAGGGAGGGTTTTTTCTCAAAGCAGCAGATTGAGCTGCTCTTCTTTAAAGGCTTTGTGGGTTATTTTGTCCATTTCATAGGTGGTATTTGACCATTTTGTTAGGAAATTCCACCCAAGGCAGAGGGATCGCACCTTCGCAGAGCATCATGGGGCCCAGCATGTAGAACAGGAAGAGGCTGGTCTCTGCCATTCTTCAGGAGTCAGCTAATGCTGGGCTCATCTAAAGATTTTTCCAAAGTGGCAGGATCAGGATATTGGATTTTAAGTCAGCTCTGTCGTTGATGTGGTGCAGAAAATAAACCAGCTTCAGAGCAGCATCCCAATTCATTGCCTGTGGATTTCTCGCAGCATTTTCTGTAGGAAAAGTCTTAATGTTATCATGGAATGGTTTGGGTTGGAAAGGGCCTTAAGATCATCCAGTTCCAACCCCCTGCCATGGGCAGGGACATCTTACACTAGACCGTGTTGCACAAGATTCTGTCCAGCCTGGCCTTGAACTCTGCCAGGGATGGAGCATTTACCACTTCTTTGGGCAGTCTGTGCCAGCGCCTCACCACCCTCACAGTAAAGAACTTCTTCCTTAACTCTAACTTGAACTTCCCTTGTTCAGTTTTAAGCCATCACCCCTTGTCCTGTCACTACAGTCCCTGATGAAGAGTCCCTCTCTGGCATTGTTTGTAGGCCCCTTCAGATACTGGAAGGCTGCTGTGAGATCTCCTCACAGCTTCTCTTCTCCAGGCTGAGCAGCCCCAGCTCTCTCAGCCTGTCCTCATATGGGAGGTGCTCCAGCCCCCTGATCATCCTCGTGGCCTCCTCTGGACTTGCTCCAACAGCTCCATTTTGTTCCGTGTTGTTCTCAAGGTGGACCACGCAGGCAGCAGGTCACTGGCCCAGTGATGCTGGGAGCCACTATGAATAGTGAAATAATTCACAAAGCAATTTGTGAAATGCTTTGAGAAGTAAGAGATGTGTAAATGCAAAGCACTGTCAGCAGAGAAGTCCAGGGCATATTGAGACCTGGGGCGAGCATCTAAAATGACACTGCAGCTATCAAATTTGAGCCTTAGGGAGGTGAAACCCCTCAGAAGGGGCTGTCAGGTTGTGCAGTCAGTATCTCATTTCTCTGTCTGACCCCTTTGCCTATGCAGGACCCAGCAGCCAAGTCTGGGGACACTGGTAAAACCCCAGAGCCCTCCATGTATCCAATGGTCTTGCCTGGCTTTCCAGCGTGCCTCTGTGAATGGGCAGTTCCCCAGGGGGTTTGCAGGTGATCAGGTATTCTCAAAACATGGCTAAAGAGGCTTAAACCCACACTGCCAGACTCCTCCTCTCTGCTCAGTGTCCAGCCCCAACCTCTCACCCATCACAGCAGCATCAGACTCATTCCTGGGGACCCTCAACCTCTCCTCATAGTGTAGACACCCTTCTGCCCGCCCTTCCCTGGGGGAGCTGCTCTCATCCTCGTGGAGGAGAAGAACTGGGGTGGTTTCTTGTAGTATTTGATTCTTTGCTCTTTAGCAGCTGAAACTGAGAAGGAGCCAACACCAGCCCTTTACAGAGCACCAGCAAACAGAGGCTGCGACCTAGCGATTTTCTCTTGGTGACTCTCCAATGGCTAAAAGGGCAGCCAAAGCTGCATTGTTAAACCCCTCTGCCGGGTCAGTAGACAGCCTTTGCCTTTATACTGCACATTGGGCACCTTGTGTGAGCTTGAGCCCCCTGTGCATAGGGAGGATGGGCTCTGGCTTGCAGCAGGGCCACATCCAGCTCTGCTCACTGGGCTGTGATGGAGCAGAAGCAACCCAAGGGAAGAATGGAGGCACATCTTTTGCCAAAGCCATGCCCACAAGCTTTCCAGGAGCTAGGTTTTGTAGCTGTCTTGGTGCCACAGATCTGGATAGCTGCCTGCTGGGGATCCAGATCCCACTGAACACCAGGCTGGAACTTTAAATCCTGCAGCAGCTTTTTTCTTTGGGGCTGTCGTTCCTTACCCAGTGCTGCTCACTGGTGTCTGCTCTGGTGATTCCATCTCTTCAACCTGGAGCTGGTTTTGGCTTTGTTTGGAGTGAGGAAGAGTGAGGGTTTGGAGAGTGAATCCAGGGCCCATTCCCCCAGCCTCACCATGCTGGGGCTGCAGTGCCTCCCCAAGCCCCCCTCCTGCAGCACTGCCATGGCCTGACATCCTCCCGGAGTGCCAGTGTCCTGCCCACATTTTGTGGCAGTTCTCAATTCAAACCATGGGGGAGCCTTCCTTCCCCTCCTTGGGAGGAGCTGGGGGTCTTCTGCAGCCCACACCAGAAGGCAGGGATGGGGATGGAGCTGCCTCTGCACTGGCCAGGGAGAATGGGAGCTCCCAGCAAGCTTTCCTCCAGGTTCCCTTTGCTTTCCTCCTTTGCTTCTCCCTACATGGGTTCTCCCTTTCCCTCTCAGTACGAGGCCTTATTCCAACCCGAGGGGTCTGAGACTGCTGCTGCATCTCTGCAATGAAGCATCCATCACACAATGCCTGGGTGGTGCTGCAGAGCTGGCCTCTGCTTGGACATGGAGCCACCACCCCAGCACATCCCCACTGTCACCTCCCCAGCTCTCTGCCTTGTCCCCCTGCTGCCCAAGGGCCTGGCCTTAGGGGGGAAGATGTTTTCGTGGGGTTAAACCTTCATTGACTGCTCCACAAAACCCTCATAGCTTGGCAGGGGCACTGCAGGGCTGCCGCTGCTCCTCTTGCCTTTCCATAGGAGTGGGGGCAGCTGATCTGCTCTTTTTTGGCCTCTGTAACCCTCTCCAAAACCTTTTGGAGGTTTTTAACATAATCTGGTGAGATGTAATCTCTGTGGGGGCCAGAGGGAACACAGGCAATGGGGCCGGGCAGCTTTCCTGCCACCGTGGCTTGCGAGGTGCATGGGCTGCCTTGGGTGGAAGGTGGGACACGGTCCCGGCAGCGCCGGTGGGACGCTGGCGCTCATCTGTAGTCAGGAGAGGATTCTGATAGACTTTTTTCCTGTCTGTAGGTTTTATTCAGACACTATGTAATGATTGAGTGATTTACAATTCAGTGTTAAGCTAATGAAAACGTTGATAATGGTGATAATAAAACCTTTCTTTTCCTACAGTGTGTTGGAGGGGTTTTGTGTTTTTCTCTGTTGCGACCAACCGTTATCTTCAACCTAAGAGTTCAGCTGGTCCATCCCTTCTCCATGTGCCTGTAGGGAATGAGAGCAGCTCAGCCTGGCGTGTCCCAGCGCTGTCCTGGCTCCTTCCAAGTGCCCTCCATGGAAGGGCCCTCTCTGAATCAACCCCAACTTCAAGCCTGCATTTCCCTGGGCCATTTCCAGATGTAATTTGGCTGTGAGCATCTCCAGGCATGGAGCTAAGCTTCCTCCCAGCTTGTACTCTCCTCACTACCCCTAGCAGGAGCCTTCTGCTCCTCCTGTTGTCTTCCCAAGACCCTTCATGGTCAACACTGAATCAAGGTTGATTTTGAAACCCTGGAGGTGAAAACACTGTCACTGGCCCAGCCTGTTGGGAATACCCTTGGTCAGTGTGGGTGCAGGGAAAGCCTGGGGACCCTTGGGGAAGGACACCCAGAGGTGCTGTTGGTCCTGGATTGCCTCTGGCTGCAAGCTCTTGGGTGGGGAGCATGTGGGGGCTCTGATGTGACTCTTGCTGTGGGTGTCTGGGGGAGGCAGCATTCCCTTGGGAGCCAGCATAAGCCCAGTGTGGTACCCAGGGATGATGAACATCTCCCACCCTCACACCATCACCAGCTTCCAAAAGCAGGATGGGGCTCAGGCAGTCACTAAGCAACAGCTCAGGCTGCTCAGCACAATAAACCCACACGGGTTCCCTGCTTCCTGCACCATCAGCTCATTACCAGCTCTGCCCTCCACCCGAGATGAGCTCCACGGTGTGAATGTCCCTTGGAATGTGTCTCACGTTCAACATTTGGAGATCTCCATCCACTGCACAGCTCTGATGGCAAGAGCACCACAGCATCCCACCCCAAGCCTTGGTGAGGGTGGCAGGTCATGGGATACAGCAACAAAAGGCATCAGCATGGAATTTCACCACTGGGGAGCTGAGAAGCCAATGGAGGCCCCATTTTTAAGCCTGTTTTATCTGCTCACAGCTTGTTTTCTCCCCCCATTCTCTTCCTTTCTATTTAAACCAAGGCTTAGCTGGTCCAGCTTTGGGGCCACTGGATGGTGCAAAGCAATGCAGGTGCTGAGCACCGTTGGGGGGGAAGACTGCAGCCAGGGCATCACCCATCTCAAAGCCCAAATCCTGCCACTTGAGAGACTGGAACAAGCTATTCCCAGTCATCACAAGCCTGCACAGATTTGGGGTGATATCAAAGCCCACAGCTGCCTCCAGGGAAGCTCAAGGACCAGGAAAGGTTGGAAACGTGGTCACTGGTCAGGGTGGGCGAAGAAGCCCAGAGCATCCCTGTTCAGGGGGCAGACACCATCCCATGATGGGTGAGAGCCAGCTGCTTCCCAGCTCCAGGACAACCACTCCACCTCCACCTAATGCACAGACATCCCAGCAAACATCCACAGGGATAACATCCCTGGATATAGACACTGCCTACATCCCTTGTGGCAGGGGAGCCAGCCCTGGTGGACCCCTGCAGCCAGGCAGGGCTGGGGTTTGGGGCTCAGGCACATCCCTCTGCTTCCCCTTGTGACAAATAACCAACCACCACCACCTGGATTCACCTTTTATTAAACTGCCCAGAACAAAAGGAGAGAGCAAAGCCTGCCCTGAGGCCTTCCCAACACTGGCACTTTGTATGCCTTCCCTACCAGGAAAATGGGATTTTCCTCTGGGAAAACCTCCTCAGAGGGTATTTGAAATAGAACTAAGAGTGAAAATGTGCCTTTTGGGGGAAAGAAAAGTGAAATGAGGCTCCTACCTCTGCTGCTCCTTGCATACAAGTCGGGATGGACACAGGCCACATTGGGGGTACCAGCTGGAAACAAGCTCCCAGGTGAGGCTCTGCAGGTACCACATCTTGCCTGGGGATGGACACACACCAGGATGGGATTCCCCCAACTCTGACAACCCCAGAGCAGTGAGCACAAACCCATGGGCTCATGGGGACTGGAGGAGGTGAGAAGCAGTGTGCTCATTGGGCTGGCAGCTGGAGGAAAGGAGGTGGAGGAAAGGGTGATCTTAGCTAATGACCCCATCAGAAGCAGAACCGTTGCACGTGGCTCTGGTTCAGGGAGGCTATCCCTGGGGCTGTGCCCTTTGCACAGTCTGGGCTCATCCCAGAGGAGGACTGTGGCTGGGCTGGAGTTCAGCTTCCCCATGACTGGGACATGGCATCCCACCAGCCAGCTCGGCCTGCAGGACCTCCCTGTAGCGAGGCAAGGTGAGCTGGTGGGTATGTGGGTGAGTGGATGGAGCTCCAGCTTCCAGCAGCGCTGAGCCAGGCACAAGCCTGAGCTTAGACTGGAGGGTTGGTTGTGGGAGATGCCATGAAGCTGTCCCCATGTGCTGAGCAGCAGGGCTGCATCCTGCTCCCTGCCTGCCTCTCCCTGCAAACCCGCTGCATGGCGCCTACTTACCTGCTCCTGGTGTCAGAGGATGTCTTAAAGATCACCAGTGCTGCAGGGCTCACTAACACAGGCTTGGCTTCTGATACACTCCCATCAAGTGCAATCCAGCCTGTGCAGCAAGAGGCAAGTGCTGGCAGCAGCCACAGCCGAGGTTAGGCAGGGTGGGAGAGCAGCAAGACCTTGGTTTGGGGAGCAGGGAAGTCTGAAAGCAAACCTACAGCCTGCTGGACCTCACAATGGGGGGGGCTCTTAGACCCAAATGCTTGAACCTGCTTTGGAGGAAAAAGCAAAGACAAACAATGCCATTCAGTGCCTGCAAAAAGGAATGATTATTTCTTAACAGGGTTTAAAAGCTCCTGCTGGACCCTGCGTGGGGCTGGCTGCCAGCTGAAAGGGGAAAGGAACAGAAGAAATGAGCGCAGTAAGAAGAACCTGACATCTCTGTTCTTAATTTATCATCCTAATAAGACTCGAGCACTGAGTGCGGCTCGGCACACGCTCCTAGATGGATTTCCTCCGCAGCCGGGGGTGCTGCCGGCAGCGAGGGCTGTTGGATGACAAAGTGCTCCCTGGGGAGGAGCCGGTCTGCCCCCGCGTGCTCAGGGACACCTCGTCGATCTTGTAGGAGATGGAGTTGTAATACACGGGGTTGGTGTGGCAGCTCAGCGTCTCGGGGTGCGAGGGCGCCGGGCTGCCGCACAGCTGAGGTCTGTAGCACAGGCACGTGCAGAAGGAGGGGACCGCGGCCGCCGAGTTGGCCGATTGGCACCGCTGCCTCTCCGCATCCTCCTGGATCAGCGGGATGAGGTTCATCTGGCTCGTCCTGTCCTCCACGGGCAGAAATATGGCGTTGCTGCTGCGGCTCTCCTCTTTGGGCTTGAGGTGGATGTTGTTCCGGGCTCTCCTCAGCGATGCTCGCTCCTCGGCATCGCGCCGCTCGTCCTCAGAGTTCATCGTTAGGAACCGCAGCACCACCAGGTTGAGGAAGGCGCCGATGACGGTCAGGCCCACCAGGATGTACATGAAGCTGAAAGCCACGTAGGGGGGCTTCTTTTGCAAAGCCTCGTTCTTCTGCAGAGCCACAAAGTCTCCAAAGCCAATAGTGGTCAAGGTTATGAAGCAGTAGTAATAGGCATGAAAGAAAGTCCAGCCCTCGAAATAAGAGAAGGCTGCTGCGCCGATGCACAGGGTGCCCATGCAGGACAGAAAGCCGACAAGGACCATGTTCTCCATGGAGACATTGGTTGTCCTCATGCCCAGACACTTCTTGATCTTCTTGAGCAGCAGCCGCACAACGGTGTTCATGCGCTCTCCCAGGCTCTGGAACATGACCAGTGTCAGGGGGATGCCCAGGATGGCATAGAACATGCAGAACACTTTGCCAGCGTCCGTGCCCGGGGCAGCGTGCCCATAGCCTGCGGAGGAAACAGGAGAGGCAGGCATCAAGCCCTCACTGGGGTTTCCAGTGTGGCTGCCCTGGGACTAAGAGGAGAAGCAGCATAATGGGGGAAATGGAAAATGAACCAGTAACAGATCTGCAGGCAGTGCTAACAGGGCCATGGGATGCCGCAGCCTTTGGGATGATGGCACATTACAGCATCTTGTAGAGAACCTTATTTTGCCTCCAAAGAGAGAAGGTATAGGAGCTATAGGGCTCCTGTGCTATGGGCTCCATCCCCACAAGAGCAGCTAAGTCTAGGAGGACTTCTGCAGAGCAACTTGGGATTTACTCCAGTGCCATTAAGATTCAGACCTAAAGCACTGCCTAAAAGCAAGGGCTGTGGCTGTTTTAGATGCAGGGAAGTATTTGTGTTACCACAGCCCTGTCAGCCCTTGTCCCGGGGACAAGGAGCTCGAGGAGGACAAGGTTGTCCTTGAACACCTTCTGAGATTTAATTTCCCCACCTTGCTCCAAGTTTCCGAGCTGTGACTCAAGGACACACACAATTATCCTGGGAGTCGTAATGAGGCATCCACCGCAAGCTTCCGGACTCAGTGATTCTGCACCACCTCACTTAATTAAAGAAGCTGTGCAGGAATCGCTGGCCTCTGACCTCCGCGGATGAGTAACGAACTCAGTGCAAGGGAGTCACGCAGCGTAGGGAGGCATCCAAAGGCATCCAAGCCTCTCTTTTGGGTTTCTGTGAGAAACTACCAGGGCTGGAAACTTCCTTTCTAAAGGCGCCTGCAGAACGGTGCCGGCTCCTTCCCGTGCTGCTGCGTGGCCTTTTGCAAACACCCATTTCTATTTTCACTTTTTCGGCAGGTATTCATGTGATTTTTGTGAGAAGAATGGGGGGGGGGGGGGGACGGGGACACCCATCCTCATTTCTCAGCCTTGCTCAAAGCTGTGACTTGGCTTCATCTCTGCTCTGCTCCCAGGACTCTTAGGGAAGATGCTAGCAGTGATGGGAAGACCAGAGGATGATAAAACCATGTTGTCCCAGGCCCCTGCTCCAGGAAACACCTGGGATGGGGCTGGGAGGCTGAGGACAGTGTTATCCTCAACTATGCAGTGCTCCAAACTACAAGCTGGCAGGAAGGGA